TATGTATGATCTCCTCATTTAGTTGGGTAGTTCATATGTCTCTAGAAATTTGTTGATTCTTTGATATTTTCTATTTGATTGGAGTATAAATTTTCAAAATAGTTTCTAATTTTTTCTGTATTTCAGACATGTACATTGATATTTCCTTCTTCATCTTGTATTTTAGTAACTTGAGTTTTCTCTCTTTTTCTCTTTGTTAGCATGGCTAGGAGTTTATCTATTTTATTTATTTTTTCAAATAACCAACTTTTTGTTTTGTCAATCTTTTCAGTTGTTATTTTTGTTTTGATTTCATTGATTTCAGCTCTGATTTTAATTATTTCCTATCTTCTCCCACTTTTCATTATTTTTTATTTGTTTTAATTAGTTTTATATGACAATAGAATTCATTTACGTACTTTGATATATCACACATATATGGGATATAATATTTAATTCTTCTGAGTATACATGTTGCTGAATCATATTGGTAATGTTAATTTGAGGGCTTTGAGATGTAGTGTAAGGTCATTTATTTGTTGACTTTTTATTCTTTTAATGAATGCTCTCAATGCAATAAACTTTCCTCTTAGTACTACCTTCATAGTATCCCAGAGATTTTGATATATCAACGTACTCATTTACTTCAAAGAATTTTTTAATTTCATCCTTGATTTCTTCTATCCATTCACCATTCAATAGAACATTATTTAGTCTCTAATTGTTACAGTAGCTTCTATTTTTTAATTTTATCATTGATTTCTAATTTCATTCCATTGTGATCTGATAGAATGCAGGGTATTTTCTCTGTTTTTTTTTTTTTTTGTATTTACTAAGGGTTGCTTTAATAGCATAAGACATGGTCTATTTTTAGAGGAGGAGCCATGTGCTGCTGAGAAGAAAGTAGATTCACTTGTTGATGGTTGAAATATTCTATATATGTCTCTTAAGTCTAAATTATTGTTCGTATTATTTAGTTCTATAGTTTATTTAGTTTTTGTTTGGTAGATCTGTCTAGTAGTGAAAGAGGTGTGTTAAAGTCATTCAGTATGATTTTGTTGTGGTCTATTTGACTCTTGAAATTGAGAAGGTTTTGTTTGATGTACATAGATGCTTCACTGCTTGAGGCTTAAATATTTATAATTGTTATGACCTGCTGATATATACTTCCCTTAAGAAGTATGAAATGTCCTTCTTTATCTCTTCTTATCAACTTTGGTTTGAAGTCTACTTTATCTGAGATGAGAATGGAATCCCCTGCTTGTTTACACAATCCATATGAGTGATAAATTTTTTCCTATCCTTTCACTTTCAGCCTGTGGATGTCTTTGTCCATGAGGTGAGTCTCTTGAAGACAGGATATTATTGTGTCTTGCTTTTTAATTCAATCTGCCAATCTCTATCTTTTGATTGATAGGTTTAGGCCATTAACATTCAAGGTTATTATTGAGATATGACTTTTATTCCCTGTCATTTTTATTTTTTTTCTGGTTTTTAATTTGACTTAGTTTCTCCTTTGGTTAAATATTCCTTAGTGTCGATCCTCCCTTTGCTGGTTTTCACTTAATCTTCATGGAATATTTTGTTGAAAATATTCTGTAATGTAGGCTTTCTAGTTGTGAATTCTTTGAATTTTTGTTTATTATGGAAGGTTTTAATTTCATCTTTGAATCTGAAACTTAATTTTGCTGGATGTAAAATTCTTGGTTGGCATCACTTTCTTTCAGAGCTTGAAATATATTATTCCAGAACCTCCTAGCTTTGAGGGTATGGGTTGAGAAATCCTTGGAGATCTGAATTGGTTTCCCCCTGTACGTAATTTTGATTTTTTTTTCCTCTCACAGCCTTTAAGATTTTATCTTTATTCTCTGTGTTATTTATTCTCATTATAATGTGTCTTGGTGTGTGTCTGCTGTAGTTTTGTACATTTGGGGTCCTGTAAGCCTTTTGTATTTGATTTTCTTTTACATTCTTAGGTTTGGGAAAATTTTTGTTATGATATCATTGAAAAGATTGTGATTCCTTTGGTTTGTGTCTCTACTCCTTCTATTATAATCTATTCTGATAACTCTTAAATTTGGTCTTTTCATGTTATCCCATAATTCTTGTCTATTCTGTTCATGGTTTTTTATCATCTTCTCTGAATGGTTCAAATCTACTTTCAAGATTATATATTTTATCTTCATTGCCTGACTTTTTGTCTTCCAAGTGGTCTAGTCTGTTGGTGATGCTTTCTATTGAATTTATAATTTGGTTTACTGATTCCTTTATTTTGAAGATTTCTGCTTATTGTTTTTTAAAATATTTTGGTAGATGTTGCTGGACCTTTATTTTATACATTTATTTATATGTAGTGCTGAGAGTTGAATCCAGTGCCTCACACATGCTAGGCAAGTGCTCTACCACTGAGCTACAACCCAAGCACTCTGCTTGTTTATTTTTTTTCACAATCTCTAACTCTTTATTGAAGTGATAATTCAATTCCTGTATCTTTTTATTTGATTTTACTCCTTAAACTATTCTTTACTTCACAGATTATTCTGAACTCCTTCTTGGATATTTCTTCTACTGTATTATTAGTGGCTTCTGTCATCTTGGTTTGTTTGAGGCGCATTGTTCTCTTGGTTTTTCATGTTGTTTGTGTGTTTTCCCATCTCGAAGTAGGATTAAGACAACACAAATTCTATCCTGTGGACCTATAGTGTCCCTGAAGGTTTCCAGCACCTTGCCTTTATGGTGAGACCAATATCAACAGCACCCAGTATAACAAATATATAGCCTTAAACCTAATAGCTTCCACTAAAGCATCTACTGCTTTCTCACATTAAACCAAAATGATGAATTCAATAACTCTCTATAGTATAAACAGAAAATTTGTTAAAATGGTTTACAATTTCAAATGGTGGATGAGAGAACAGAGGTAGCATAGTCCACGATGTCCATGAGGGAGGAATGAAGAAGCTAGAAGTAGAAATTCACAGGAAAAGTGGACAAGAAGCCAACGGAGATTGGCTGATGGTTGGAGAAAAGTTGGAAAGAAAATCCAAGAAAACAGACAAGTGAGAGGAAGAATACAAAGAGAAAAAAGTAAAGATATAAGAATGTAACAAAAATGCAAAACACCATTCATATATCATTGTCCTTCACACACTGATGCATGAAAAACACCCTGTTACAAATATTATAGAGATATCAGCAAATTGAAAAACAAACAAACAAATCAATCAATCAATCAATCAATCAATCAATCAATCTCAGTGGAAAGTCAAAGTGTTTCCATCAGTGTTCAAAAGCTTCTCAGCCCTGTCTCTGATGTCTCTCAGGATCACCAGGCCCACAGCAACCTTCTGAGACTCAGTCACTATCCCACCAATCTGGTCTTCAGATACCTAAGGCTCAGTCACACTGCAGTCCCAAGATCTCAATGCTGTTTCTACTTATGAATAATGCTGTTATCAGAATTCATGCACAAGTGTTTGGACATAATTTTTTCATGTCATTTGGGCATACACTTAGTAATAGAACTTCTTGATCATATGGTTAGTCTAAATTTTTTGAGAAACTGATTGTTTCCCAAAGTGGCTACATAATTTTACATTGTTCAGCATCATATGAAGGTTTTAGTTTCTCCGCTTCTATTCGAATACTTCTTGTTACCTTTTTGATAATAGCAATCCTAGTAGATGAGAAATGGCATCTCATTTTATTTTAATTTGCATTTTCTGATGGCTATTGATGTTGTGGATCTTTTCATGTGTTTATTGGCCATTTGTGTATCTCCTTTTGAGAATGTCTAATTTTATATTTTGCCTTTCAAAAGTGGGTTATTTTGTTTTTGTTATTGAGTTATATAAGAGTTCTTTTTATCTTCTAGATAAAAATCTCTTTTCAGTTGTGATTTGCAAACAGGAACACGAAAGTTTTTTAATTTTTGAGAAATAGTTATTTTTCTTTTGCTACTTGTCTTTTATTGCCATTTTATGAAACCATTGCCTAATCCAGGATCACAGAGATTTATACCTGTTTCTTCCAAGACTTCTATAATTTTCGCTCTTTCCTTTGAGTCTTTGATCCATTTTGAGTTGTTTTTTTGTGTATGGCATAAGATGTTAGTCCAATTTTTTCTTTTACATGTAGGTATCCAGTTGTTTGAGACCATTTGTTGAAAAGCCTGTTTTCCCCATTGTATTGTCTTATTACTCTTGTTACAACAATTTACTGTATGTGTAAAGGTTTATTTCTGGTCTTTCATTGGGTTACATTGATCTATTAGGTCTATCCTTATAGGCAATACCACACTGTCTTGATTACCTTTGTAATAAGTTTTAAAAATAAGCTATGAATACTTCAACACTGTAATTTCAGGATTATTTTGACCATTTTGTGTTCCTTGTGTTTTCAAAATGAATTTTAGAGAATGCTTCTCAATTTCTTAAAAAAAAAAGAAAGAAAAGGCAGGTGATATGAATAAAGTTGAATCTGTAGCCCAATTTGGGGAGTATTGCATTTCTTAACAATGTTAAATCTTTCAATTCAACAGTGTAGAATATCTTTTAACATTTGTTTAGTTCTTTTAATTTATTTATACAGTGTTTTGTAGTTTTCATATTATAATTCTTGTAGTTTTATTACATTTATTCCTAATTATTTTATATTTAGATCTTTTGTAAATGGAATTGTTTTCTTAATCTTATTTCTCACTATTCAGTGCTAATATAAAGAAAATTGATTTTTATAAATTGAGTTATTGAATTAGTTATGTTTTTACATCATCATTAACATTGTGTTCCTAATATGGTGAATAAACACAAGGAAAAACTTGTACTATGAATGGTTTTCTATGTATATAGTTTAGGTGAAGTGCTTAGAAAGCTCTGTAAGCACCTTCTTTTTCAAAAGTAGAAATGCTTATTTAATATAAGTGCAGTTAAAAAGACTAAGCAGCTAGTATAGTTATTTTTTAAAAAGTACTTTTGTTGTAGATGGACAGGAGACTTTTATTTTATTTATTTATTTTTATATGGTGCTGCTGAGAATCGAACCCAGTGCCTCATGCATGCTAGGCAAGTGCTCTGCCACTGAGCTACAGCCCCAGCCCGCATATCATTATTTTTCTAAGTAGTTTGACATCTTGATATTAAGTGGAGGCATGTGTCCACAAAGGGATTTCATACATGATTTTTAACTGAGCCTAGTTTAGAGCCTAGCCTCTAAACTTTAATTAGATTGTTGGCTTTCTTTCAACCTGTACTTAAATTATTTGACCTTATAACTCCTTATCTTATGCCCTTCTTCCCAGTGTACTTCATTTTTTCTAGGGAACTTGCAGTAGAAATAGATTTTATGAGACTTGCATATATTCTAGTTCTGGAGGCAGTTCTTTCTTTTGGAGTTACACTGGTATAAAGTTATTTTATGTCATTTGCTTTTTAAATTATAGAATTATTATAGAATCTCACATATAGTAAGACATTTCTTAGACTGGTAATTGATTTTATAGGACTGCATGGAATTAGAAGGAGGCAAATTAATATTTTGGCTTATTTTCTGAAATAAAGGCTGAGTGGAGAGGTCTAGTAGGAATATAAGGGATTTTTTTTGAGTCAAAACTAAAAAAAATCAAAAAATTATTACAGAGTAGTACAGATTTTATCTTGGTCAAGTGGGTGTTAGTCAAATATTAAGATTCTAGTTTGGTAGGGCTAAAAGAATCCAAATAATATGCATAAGTATAATGCACCCATAAAAATATGGAAAAAATTAAAATGAGCTAAGAAGAATTGAAAGTTTTAAAAAATCGGTATTAGGAAGGATGCAGTAATAACAAAGAGATGATATGTCAGCAAGAGAGAAGTGATTTCTAGGTCCTTATCAGTGATGGCTGGTCTGAAATTGTTGACATATGCTTTCCTTTGCTTGGAGGTGGACCCTAACTTGCATCATTCCCTCTGTTGACATTAGTTAGGCTGGAAAGGAGAAACTGAGACAAATATCAAAATCAAGCCAAATGCAGACATAAGACAGTGCTTTTTTTCACTGAACAAACTATTGGGCAAACATTTGCATATGTCCTGTCTCAGGTTATTATAAATAATCATGAAAATTCTGTGTACATAAACTTTATATTTAGTCCTAACTACTAATATATATTTGCAGGAAAATACTAGTGATTTTGACTATTATTATGAAAAGCCATATTTTTCCAGCTAAGGATTATCTCTCTCTTTTTTTTAATTTGGTACCAGGGGTTGAACCCAGGGGTGCTTAACCCTGAGCCACATCCCCAGCCTTTTTAATATATTTGTATTTTGAGACAGGGTCTCACTGAGTTGCTTAGGGACTCGCTAAATTGCTGAGACTGGCTTGGAACTCATGGTCCTCCTTCCTCAGCCTCCTGAGCCACTGGGATTACAGGCATGTGCCACTGTGACTGGCAAGGGTTAACTCTTTAAGTCCAGGATTTGAATTTTTTTATTTTGGCTGAAACTTATTTAGATATACTTTGTTCTTTTCTGCCTTCAAATGAATCACTAAAGTTTATCCTATGTAGAGACTCATGGTCTTCATCATTAACCTTGTAATTTGCTGAAGATTTAAGTATATGCAAATATTAATGATATAAGCCCTCAGAAAGAATTCACGTAAATTGAAGGAGTACCCACTTGGATTTTGCTTTCTAGAAAAAGTTCCAAATGTCAGGTTTGTAGAATTTTGATAGCTTTATTGAGATATAATTCATATACTATATAATTTACCCATTTCATGTATATAATTGAGTCATGTTTAGTGTATTCATGTTATATATCCATCATCAGTCAAATTTTGGAATATTTTCATCATCCAAAGAAGATGCCTATACTCCTTAGTGGTCACTCCCCATTCCTATGCAATCACCACTCTACTTTCTGAATAGATAGATTTTTCTGTTCTGGACATTTCATATGAAAGAAATCATATAATATGTGGTATTTGTGATTGGACAAGACAATAAATTACCATTATTTAAGCCACTCACTTTATGGTATATTCTGAAATTCAGGCACTCCCAGAATCCCTTGTTGAAAACCATTTATATGAAATAATAAACTAGGAATTTGATTTGAAATATGCATTTTATATGATAGGTTTTTATCTATGTCTTTGAAAATATTTTTAATATAGATGATTATTAAAAGATAAAATAAGAAAATCTCCATATAATGCCTCAAATGAGAACTTGGTCAGTGTTTTAGATTTTTCTTTTTTTAACTTCTTATTTATAAATAATTATAATTTCATAGGAAATTTACAAGATTAATATGAGAGGTTTTAGGTTCCTTTCCCTTGGTTTTTGTGAAAATTGCCTTTTACATACCTATAGTACATGATCAAAGCCAGGAAATCGATACTGGTGCAGTGTGTTTGTATAATTATGTGCAATGTTATCATATGTAGTCACCATCACAATCATGATACAGAACATTCATCGTAAATATCTCCCTATGTGGCCCCCTTTTTAGTCATACCTGTTCTTTTTTCACCATTCTTCCCTAATCTCTAACAACCACCATCATGTTCTCTATCTCTATGATATTTTTTTTTTATTTTGAGAATATTACATAAAAGAAATTATAAGCAGTGTGACCTTTTATATTTGCTCTTCTCACTCAGTGTCCTTCAGATCCATTTAAGTTAGTGCATGTGTCGGTTTATTACTGATTAGTATTACATGTTATAGATGTACCATATGTAACCATTACATTATATTGAGGAATTCCAGTTTTAGACTATTCAGATAAAACTGCTATTATTTTTAGTGTACAGGTGTTTGAATATAAGTTTTCATTTCTTTGATAAATGATCAGGAATGTAATTGTGGGAGCATATGGTAAATATATGATTATTTTCTAAAGAAAATGCCAAACTGCTTTCTAAAGTAATTATACCATTTCCAACAGCAGTGTATGAGAGATCCCAGTTTCTCTGCAATTTTATATTATTTCTATTTTAAAATTTAACCTTAAAATAGGTATACATTGGTTTAAATTTCATTTCTCTAATGAATAATGAGCACTTTTAAAAAAATTTACTCTTTTTTTTGCATTACAATTCTTAATACACATACATACCACAGTTTATCATATCTCTGTTTGTATATATGGTATGTTGACACCAAATTTGAATTTGGTGTCAAATTTTTTTTTACTTGTCAGTAGACCTTTATTTTATTTATTTATATGTGATGCTGAGAATTTCACACAATGCGAGACAAGCATTCTACCACTGAGCTACAACTCCAGCCCAATTAGCACTTTTAAAGTGCTTATTAATGATGTTTATCCTTTGATGAAATGTCTATTCATGTTTTGGGGCTATTTTCTAATTGTATTTGGTTTGCTGTTGAGTTTTAAAGGTTCTTCATAAATTCTAGATGAGAGTTGTTTGTGAGTTATGTGATTTGTAAATATTTTCTTCCAGTCTTGTATTTTTATTTTCTTAGTAGGGTTTTTCATGAAGAATGAATTTTTTATAAAGTCCAATTAATTCATTTTTTAATGCTTCTTACTTTTGGTTTCATGTCTGTGAACTCTTCACCAAACCCTAGTTCTGAAGATTTTCTCCTATGTTTTCTTCTAGAAGTTTTATAGTTTTATGTGTGAGGTTTAAATCTGTGATTCATTTAAAATATTAAATACTTTATAAGGTATGAGAGTCCTGTTGAGTTAGAGGTTTTTTTGTTTATTTTTGCCTGTGGATAGCATATCTTTCTGATGTCATTACTGTCTTTTCATCATTGAATTATTTTTTTACTGTTGCAAAAAGTTAGTGATTGTGTGTTTCTATTTTTGTTCTCCATTCATGTCCCTTGATCAATATGTCTTCCCTATCAATACCACATAGACTTGATATATGTCTTAAAACCACTTTATTCTTTCTCAAAATTGTTTTAATGATTTTAACTCCTTAACCTTTCCATATAAATTTTAGAATGAATTGTCTACAGCAACAGAAAATATTGCTGAGATTTTTAATAGGAATTATGTTAAACCTTTATATCAGTTTGGGGAGAATTGACATCTTCATTGTCATGAATCTTCCAGTTCACAATTGTGGTATGTCTCTACATTTTATTTAGTTTTTATTTGATTGCATTTTGTAGTTTTCAGCATACAAGTTCTGTTCATGTTTTGTTAGGGTTACACCTGGGAGTTTCATTGTTATGCACTATTATAAATGGTTTATTTTTCTAATTTTGATTTCCATCGGCTCATTGATATGTAGAAATATATCATTGAATTTTGAATGATGATCTTGTATCTTGCAACCTTACTAGTTCCAGGAACATATTTGTATGCTCCTTCAGATTTTCTTTGCTAACCATGTGTCATTACAATTTTGCAAATATCCAAAACCAACTTCATTTACATACCTTTATTTTCTTTTCTTGTTTTATTGCGCTGGCTTAGATGACTAGCACTATGTTCAGATTTGGTGAGAGCAGATATCTTTGTCCTGATTTTAGGAAGAAAAAATACTCATGTTTTCATCTTTAAATATGATGCTAGCCATGCATTTCTTGAAGATGTTCTTTGTTAAGTTGAACTAATTTTCCTGTATTCCAAGTATTCTGCAATTTTAAAATTATGTATTAATTTTTTTCAAATTCTTTTTATGAATGAATTCATAGAATCATGCATTTTTGCCTTTTGAAGTTGTTAATTTGCTAGATAATGTTAATTGATTTTTCAAATATTGAACTAGTTCTACATCTCTGGAATAAACTACACTTGGTAATGGTACATGTTTATTTTTATACACTACTGAATTCTAATATTTTGTTAAAGATTTTATGTCAGTATTTATTTATTTTGTTTTAGTTTCTGTAATTTTTATTTATATATGACAATGAAATGCATTACAATTCTTATTACACATATACAGCAAAATTTTTCATATCTCTGGTTGTATACAAAGTATATTCACACCAGTTCATGTCTTCATACATGTACTTTGGATAATAATGATCATCATGTTCCACCATCATTTCTAATCACATGCCCCTTCCTTCCCCCCAACCCCTATTCCTTGTCTAGAGTTCATCTGTTCCTCCCAT